TGAAATAATAATAATAATAATAATAATAATAATAATAATAATAATAATAATAATAATAATAATAATAATGGCCCAATCAACTACCATCTGGTCTTCAATTCAACTGGGTTGCTCTCAATTCAAGGGCATCACTTTTTAAAAAAATCTCTGGCATACCTGGAGACTATTTTGAGTCATATTAGTGCCCCTCCCCTTTTAAAAATCTCTACTTAGCTGCCTGCCTGTATGGAGCTCTTACTTTATTCTCACTTGTTGATGGCTGTCTTCAGAAAAGTGGGAAGTAGGGCTACATGGACTTTGTATATCTACTATCTCATGTGGAAAACTAAGCTAAACCCTTAATGAGAAAAAACTCCTAACGTTAAAAGGAAATCTCCTCACTATGAAGCATGTCTCTAAATCTGTGTTTTTTAAAAAAATCTAGAACTTCAAATTTCTGCAATCCAAGTGTCATATTAGATCCATGTAATTTTCTTCTGCAAAATCTGGCTTCACCTTTACAGATCAGTAAGTTATGTGGAAGGGAGAAACAAAACAAACATTACAATAGTGAAGCCAATCTTTAAAAAGTGTGAGCATGCAAGAGTTTTAATATTACCTGACAGCCCATTCAAGTTATCATCCAAGATGAACTCCATGCCAAGCTTCTTCCCATTGTCTATGTAAGCTTTTTCCAGACTCTTGTTAGGAAGCACATTGTAATAATCATTTGCTCCACCTTGTAGTTCCACCTAGACAAGAAAGCCACATCTGATTCTCCAAAGAAGTATCTAATTTAGTCTGTATTAAAGTGTTTAGTAAAAAAGTAAGGCTTTTCTACATGTTGCATCCTACATTTATTACTTTAATACATTTCTACCCTGCACCCTTAACGAAAATTTCAGGAAACACCTTACAATAGTTAAAATAATGAATCACATAATTCTCCCTTTACTGCCCTTGGTCAACCACAGGCATTAAAAAAGAAGTCAATATAAACTGAAAGCACATTCTTTTCAGCATCCTAACCCTAAGCACCTATTTGGCAGTAAGCTCCATCAAAGATAACGAGTCTTAATTCAAAGTAGACTATTTAGGGTTGTATAGTAATATTTTGTTGTTGTTGTTCAGTCACACAGTCGAGTCTGACTCTTCACGACCCCATGGACCAAATCACACCAGGCCTTCCTGTCTTCCTCCGTCCTCTGAATTTTGCTCAACTTCATGCTTGTTGCATTTATGACACTGTCTAACCATCTCATCCTTTGCCGTCCCCCTTCTTCTTTGACCTTCAATCTTTCCCAGCATCAGGGTCTTCTCCAGTGAGTGCTCCCTTCTCATTTGGTGGCCAAAGTATTTGAGCTTCGGCTTCAGCATCTGGCCTTCCAGGGAACATTTTAGGTATGTCTAAAATATGATTCTGGGGCAAGAACAAATTTTGTTGACCTGTGCAACTCTAAACACTAGGTACACGAATGGTACAAACCACAAACCCCATTTGCCTTTTCCTTATGGGTAACTCCTCCCCTGGAAATCTACTTAAGCAGGATAAATACTAGCAAGAGTGTTGTTTTTTTAAGTAAGGAACACAGCCTGATGCTGACTCTTTGTGACGATCCTTTAAATATGGATTTAATTTCCCCTTATGTATACATTAGAGAGATCTTCCATGTGATCAAGATTTGGGCAATTTAGAACAATACAAAAGGGGAGCCTGTGATGAACTGCAAGTGAGGAAGGTCTTCCCTTCCCTTCTGTACGTCTGCATGTAAGTAAGCAGGTAGACAAAATATAACTGAAAGGTGTATGAGGAGCAAACTTTTTCATCTTACCTCCTTCTAAAGCTAAAAAACTGGAGTGTGTAATGCTTCAAAAAATGCAGATTTTTTTTACAGTTTTTGTTTTAAAGAGGGATTGCTGCATAGAAAGGGCAGCAAAAAACAAACTTCTGAGACAGAAAATTTAAAAAGTTACATGAGGATTTGACTGAGTCTAAGATGGAAATGTAAAGCCTCCCCTTCAGTCTGTTCAGCATGACTGGCTCAGCTGCAGCTCCTTTTCATACTATGCCTCGTGGGACTTGAGTGGAGGGGAGAGAAGCGACTGCCTGCTGGCCTAGTTATGAAGCCAGCTGTGCTGCTGCTCTTGGTATAGAACAGCAGTGGGACCTTGAGCTGATGGGATTCTGGCCAAGGTGTTTCCAGAAGGCCTTTCTACAGCATCAACAGAATGAGTGGTGTGTTGTGTTCCTCATCAGCACAATTACTTTCCACCTCCCTCCTGAGGGTATTTCAGAAAGTTATGCCATGAGAAGAAATCCTTCTACCTCTGGAAAAACTCCAGGGAATTTTAGCCAGCCTTTTAAAAACTCAATGTTTGGAATTCCCCTCCCCCAGTATGGGGATCCAGAAGGAAATAAATATTTTTCTGCATACCTGTGACTTTTCTGTGGCAGTCCTTAACCACCCTCTCCTTTGTGTCTTGCCCTACCGGACTGCTTTTGTGATCTGCATGGGGACCAGACACTTTGTAATTATTTATCCATCATTTACATATCTAATAGCCACATGGGAGCTCATCTATAGTTCACATGGAGAGATTTTTCTGCAGCCTTTAGGGGATGCTGCAGTGGAGGGAAGAGGAGGGGAAACAGCAGTGCTGAAGATGTATGGCTACATGAGAGGAACCCTCCCCCACCCACAGCTCCAGCGCTGCTTCTCCCCACAATCTGGTCAGTTAGAACACAGCAAGAAAGTGTGATCCCTCTCTCAGCTGTCCTTTTAAATGGCCAGACTGCAGCGATCAGTGCTGGAGGTTCAGGGGCAGTGCAATGCAATCTGGCTGGTTAGAAGCCAGCAGGAAAGTTATTATAGGCCCTGGTCACACGGGCCAGATATCGCGGGGGGGGGGCATGGCTAATTGCCCCGGAGGAAACTAACACGTGGCTGCCCGAGCACACGTCCCAGTCGAGGTCCCGTGGTTCAGGGGAAATGCCGATCAGACGGGTATCCTGCAGTGCGGCACAGAAGCTGCGCCGCACAATCACACTAGCAATCGCTCTTTGTGCGCATGCGCTGTTGTGCAACCTGCGGAGACGAACAGCAGCGGGCGCCAGATGCCACGTAAGTCCACCGGGAATGCAATCAGATGCCCGCCCTTAGCCCGCGGTTTCAGGAAACTAGTACCTCGTAGGTACTAGTTTTTAACTCCGCACCTTCAGTGGGGAGCCACGGGTTCGCCACGGGAGCACTGCGCTTCCCAGATGTTGGGGTGAGATCGCGCCTGGAAAATCCGCGGGACTCCCGTGCCTCTCCCACGGCAACTTTGCCATGTGACCGGGGCCATAGAAGGGTAAATGAGGCATCAGTTATGGAGATAAGCAACAGGACTGTGGGGGGCAAAGCATGGATTCCCCACCCATGTACCATCTAATAACAAAGGATAAGTTTATATAGGATTGCTTATTTTAGTCAGTTCTGTGTACAATAGTCAAGATACTATCAACATTTTTACTTTTACTTGAGAATCAACTCACATGAAACCTTCAACAGAATCTTGCTCAAACTTTAAGAACCTTACTTCACATCCTGTGGCCAGAGCAGCAGCTTTAAAACAGTTCTCTGCTTTTTCTGTCAGGACTGAGAGTTCTCTTAACGAAGGGGCGCGCAAGTAAAATTCTAATTCAGCATAAGAAGGGATGATATTAGGTTTCACACCTCCATTCTTTATTATACCTACAAGGAGAAGAATCAGGTTAGTGAACTTAGAGAACTGCACAAGAAGCATTCTGAGATTTCTGGCAAGGCAGCTAAACTGAAACACACATTAGTTCATATATTTGGATCTGACTTCTTTCTGTTCTCCAACAGAACCATATGAAAAAAGCATGTTTTCACACAGGAAAAAGTGTTGAGTCTTGAACATTTACTTCAATGTTTAAAAAGGCAAAGCTAAACCTGTTTTCATATTCCTCTATTATTATCTGTTTGCTCTTCAGGTTAAGAAAACACAGCTTGGGGTAAGCAGACTTTTAGGTCAGAGTGCCAGAAAACACACCATGTTTACCTGCAATGACGCTGATGTGCCAGCAAACAAAGGGTGGAAGAGGACTGGTACTGGCCAGGTACATTACATCTGTTGCATACAGACTTTTTAAAGGGACTAATATAACACTGCTTTAGAAATGTCAGTATAAAACATCAGTAGTTTTGCTTTGCGTTGTGAGCAGGGGCCTTATAGGGTGTAAGGGCTTCAGTTTCATGCAGAACTACCACATTACATATTCTAATTTTACACTATTGCTAATGTCCAGGAGGGGACTACCCCAGAGAATCCTACTGGCTTCTAGCCTGCCCTTCCATCTTTCCAATTGTGACCTGATGCTGTCCCAACCCAGCTGCACTTTGATTTGGGCTGGAGCAAGGGAACTACTTAGGCTGCGGTCACACACACTTAATAATCCACTTTCAGTGCACTTTCCAACTGGATTTTAACTCTGTAAACTGGCAAAATCCAGTTGGAAAGTGCACTGAAAGTGGATTATTAAAGTGTGTGTGATCACAGCCTATGTTAAACAACACAGCATATCATCCTGCTCTTTGTCACATTTGCCAGGGGTTGCCTACCCCTGATGTAGTGGTACTATGTGATGAAGTAAGCTGTAAGCAGGAACAGAGAAGCTGGATATCTTTAAGCTCTTTATTGTAACAGAAAATAAGGCATAGAAACTGTCAATCACATTTGCAACTCTTCCTTGAAGATTCAGGGTTGGATTACCAGAAAAGTGAAAGTGTACTTAAAAATATGCCACACTATTTCTGCTTAACCAACTTATATCAGTTCAACAGTATATAACAGCACAATACTTGTAGTTGCAGCCCATAAGCTGACCAAGAAGAAAGGATAAGTAGGCATGAAAACATTTCAAAATCTTAGATGGCTTTAACTTTGGGAAACCAGGATTAAATTATATGCCTACTGTCTGTAGGAATGGGGGGAAATCCAACTTTTAAAAATCCCAGTATTTTCAAAGCTCTGGATAATATATACATTAACAGCAACCCCTTCATTTGCCACTAGGACACTTTCCTTTTTCAAATTTAAACAGAATTTTTATAGAGAAATCCTACATAAAAGTAAATATCATGGGGTCTGGGCACTATCTAGGTGAAATACCACAATCAAATATTACAAATAAAAAATTTTATTTGGTGAAAAAAAGAAGGCTCCATAGCAAAACCCAATACTGAATGTACCATATCTGTGGTGAATTGCTATTGGTAAAAAATAGCTTATGGAATTCCTTCCAGTTGTTAGAATGGTTTCAGAAAAGATAAACATTGCCTTACACCTCCCTAATGCCCCATTTTATAACTGGAAGTAGAGATGACTCCCCCCTGGGGTTTTGTATCACCATTAACAAACACTTCTGACAGCACAACATGGAGACTATGATAGTATTTCAGATATCAAAGTTAATGCATCAGGTTTTCCTGTAAAACCAAAAATCAGGAACAAAGTACTGTTACCTGGCATAGCAGTTCATATCTGATGAAAACCGCACCTTAAATTGAATAAGAAATAGCAATCTTTGTAGAGTGGAAGAACTTTGGATCTATCCATCACACCCATATAACTATACCTGTGAAAATGTTGTTCCCATCTTAGCTAATGCTCTTACAGAAAGACTGCAGCCCTCAAGACGGTTATACTTCCTTCCTTAATGCATACATGAGAACACCATATCTTTTCTGCCTTTTCCCCAGATGTGATCTGACCTTTCTTGCAATATCAGTTCTGTCAACAAAACTGTTATATTTTCTTTTTCTTGGGAACCCATCTGCAAACTTTAGGTGAATGAGTTACTGGTGTTTTTTTTTTTGGGGGGGGGGGGTTTCAAAAGAGAGTAATAGGTTATAGCATATTTACACATTAAACTTTCCCAATGAAGAATCTTTGTTGGACTGACAATGTTCAATGGTTCTCTTATGGACAGCTTCCACAAAGATGACCAAAAAGGCATCTTTGTTCCATGATAATGTAGGTTAAAGTAATTCTAGCACTTAAGTCTCTAACCTAAGATATTTAAAATCTATGCTGAAATATTAAATAGAGATCACTAAAACTGTTGTTTTCATTAATCTTGTCTGACATTATTTGGTAGCACTGAGGCTGCTGCCACACGGGACGGCTGAAACGCGGCTAAGCAGAGCCGCACCGAACTTGAGATGCCGCGGCGGGATCCTACGGATCCCCTCAGCCACGGCGCATCGCTCCCCGGCACGATCAGATGCCAGGGAGGAAAGTCCGATGGGAGGGGGAAGCTGCCGCCCGATCCCACAGCCCGGCTTGCGGCGCTGGAAGGGATACAACCACCTAGGTAGGTGGTTCTTTTTTACAGCGTGGTATCGCCGTTTGGGACGGAACAGGGATGGGCAGGCAACGATTCCCAGATGTTGCCGTGGGATCGTGCCCGTTTGCTCCGCCCCCGTTCCGTCCCGCTCCCGGCCCAAAAGGCCTCGTATGGACAGGACCTGAGTTGTCCATACCACAAGTCAGTTCCCATACCTAGCCTGACTTCTGAGAGCTGTTACAGTACATGTAATAGAAGAGGGGACATGTCACCCCTTGTGAAACATCTTTCTAGCTGTTATAGATCAAGAAATGTGTTTCCAACAAAGAAGAATTTTAGTGGATACCTAGGATCCTCACTCTACCTGTGATATTATTACTATTACAGCAATGGGATGTTAACTCTCAAGAGAAGGCTGCAAAGCAGGAACTGGAAAACCTGATCTTACAGAAATTCAGAAATGCTCCAAGAATGTCAAGCATGTGGGATAATCCAGCACAGCCTCTGATCTGCATCTCTGCCTTCCATTAAGATGTCAGCCAAGCTCCTACAAGCAGAGAAATTACCTTGAGCCATAACACATTTAAGCCAAAGAGGTGGCCATGTTTGCACCTCATTATGGCAATTATAAAGCTCACACATGCACAAAACTTCTGAAATGCAGTAACCATATGTCCTATTGATTAGTCAATCATGAATACTAAAGAACAACAAAATCAGTGATATGCTGGCATAGTACCATTACTGGGTATTTCTGCAGCAACTAGTTATGCTGTGCAGCTCTGTTGGGGAAATCTGTCAAGAGAATAGGAAGACTGGAAGGCAAGTGCTGTATTTTCTGACACTGTCTCAAGAAAGTACCATTACTCAAAAGAGCCATATGGCCAGGCATACAATCCCAATGACTTTATTTACCCGCTATCTAAAAATATTTTAACACTCATTGATTTAAACACAGCTAAGCACTGTTTGGCATATTGATACCTGCATTACTTGAAAACTTTGTTGTTGTTTTTTTTAAAAAGGCCTGCAACCACATGTGCATGTACGACAGTATGTGTCTTTTCCTGGAACCAAAACCTATGGAAAGACATTTCCCCAGCAATCTACTGTAACATTTAAATGGCATTACGGCCCAGGACTCCAGACTACATAGTTCATGAAAAAATTCAAGATTCACATCTATACCCATGACATCCTAAGATTAACATTTTGTTGAATTCTCAAGTTTCAACCCACACATTATACCCTTATGACAAAAATGAACTCAAATATTTATGCTTTAGAATTGTTTAATTTAAGCCAAACAGTTGTGGGGTTGTAAATCACATTTTTCAAATAATTATTCACTTTAATGAAGTTAACATAGAACTGCATCTGTTTAAGGGCATTCTGGCATCTACAGTTAATGCTTTCTTGATAGGTTTCAACCTCCAGTGACTGATCAACTTTCTTATTGGCAAAAAAAGGACAAGGGTGATCTCAATTGTCCACATTACAACCCTATCCCACATGGTTTTGTTCACCCAGGCCATGCATTCTCACACACTGCCTTTTCAACATCAAAGCAGGCCCCTCCACCCTCTTACGTAATTAAGGGATACAGTTGTGATAGGACTCTACAAATACACGTGCTGGTCACATGAAATGCAGAGCTTGTGTAAAAATATTTAAATACCAGACTCATGGGAGCCTTAACATTTTATTTGCATTCACAAGAACTCAAAGAGAACAGAGACTGAACCTATATCTTAATTTGGCACAGCGCAAGCATCTACTATTGGAAGTGCCTTTAAAACAGGAGTCCACAATGTGGCGTCCATGGGTGCTATGGCACCAACTGACACCTTTCCTGATGCTCACCAAGTGTTTTTAGCAAGTGGAAGGACAAGGTGAGGCTTTTGCCCAGAAGGGCTTCCAATTTGCTGTGCAGATTAAAAGGCATCCTGTTAAGCAGAACTTCTACCTGAAATGGTGAAAAGTTACTATTAAAGTTATGCATAACCTCACTTCTTGACATTCTGTAGTTAGCTCCACCACCTGTGGCAGCCATTCTGTGACTGGTTTCGTTGCCAGCAGCAACATTCTGTGGCTACACCCACTACCCTATTTCATTATTTTAAAGGTGCCTTCGAGCTTTAAAATGTTGGGGACGCCTACTCTGAAGTATACAGAGATGGTTGGCTAAAGTGAGCTGGATTGACCACTAAAGTGCACGAACAGTTAAGTCCTATTTGGAGGTGGTGGATGGAGTGAGGCTGTTCAGCAGTAAACACACATATCATATTGTAAGCAACTGTAATAGTAATTCATATCAATCTTAACATTAACCACTACTTACATGAACACTCAATTATGAAGTTTAACTCATCTGTTTAAGTTCATTTCTACTACTTCATGAGAATAAATTGTTAGGAAAACATGCAGCACATAAAAATTTCTACCTTTATCAATTCGCTATGCATTTGTCAGAAAAACAAACACATGAACAGCCACGTCTATTTTAATGTTAACATGCCACATACAATATATTTGCTTAAACAGTATCTGAAGAATTATTTGCTGGACATAAGATTTAATGAAGATCTCACCATGAACTCTCCAGGTTGGTTTCATTTGCTGTCTTAAAAGTGACAGATTGTTGTATGCAAGAACAGCAGCATCTAATGCATTTACTCCTTCCCAAGGGTAAGCAGCAGCATGAGAAGCTTTTCCATAGTATTTCACAGTCACACTAGGAAATAAAAGCCATCACTTGTTTTTAAACACTTTTTTGAAGTAAAAAGATCCCCTTGGATTCATTTAATGAATTCAGTTTCAGTGGCATTAATTGTGCATGCTGTGATTACCTCATATAGAAACTACTGGTGGGGGACCCAGATCAATATGATTTTGAGGGTGGGAAGCATTTGATATAGAGCTTCCATACTCAAAGATGACTATTGTCACTGCAAAACAAAACCTGACATTTCTATGGACCAGCAAACAGAAAAATATATACAAAGAAATTTTTAAAAATTAAGCTCTATGTAAATAATATGCTGTATTAGTGACTGATCTTTACTTTCTGTACTGGACTAGATACCCTGTAATCAACCCACTAAAAGAAAAAGGAGAACTGTTATTTTGTTTCCTGGGGGGGGGGGGGAACCATTAAAGTTGCAGTTACTCCTTATGATTTCCTGACATCTTCTCCATTTGCTTCCTTTCACAATACGACACACTGTCCTCATCAATCTGTTCTACAGAAATTTTAATAAAGATAATCCTTATGCATAGAAAAGTATGTCTTTATACTGGGTTCTTACGCAGAAATAAACAGGGAAGCCATTCTGGGTGGAGGAGTTCCATGCGTGCAAAGGGTCCCTGAAGTCAGAACCAATCAACGTACCCAGAGAACTGTATTTACACCAAATACAAGATCCATCTTAAAAATTAAATTTGGATAACTGCTAGAATATTTTTAATTTCAACTACATTTCCTCACTTTAAAAAGATCTAAGAACTAGCTGCAAACCGCAGCAATGAATAGTTATGCAGGAAGCACGGGTGGCACTTTTAATGACAATTTCAATCATCCTACCTGGGTGTTTGTATTAATGAACAAGAACTAACCATGTTCTTAATATGTAATCTTAAAGCAAAACCTAGCTATGAGAATCGAATGCTTAAAAGCAAATGTAATTTAGGCAGCCCAAGAAATTCAAGGAACTTCTGGAGTGTAGAAATAGAACTGAACTCTATTATAACTCTGGCCCATATAAGAACCTGAGTAAAGGTTAGTAAATATACTGCTTCTCCCCTATACCTCTCCTGGCCTTCGACGGGGCACCACTGGTGCCAGCGCCGTAGGTGTGGAGTTTGGGAGTGCTCTTGGATTCCTCAACCATGGAGGCCCAGGTGGCAGTCACTGACAGGTCGGCCTTTTACCATCTCCAGCTGATTCGGCAGTTGGTTCCCTTCCTCAACTGCGACGACCTGGCTACAGTGATCCATGCGATGGTCACCTCGAGGTTAGACTACTGTAATGCTGTCTACATGGGACTGCCCTTGTCGCTAATCTGGAAGCTACAGCTAGTGCAGAATGCTGCGGCCAGGCTTCTGATGGGTCTCCCTAGATGGGAGTACCAGAAAAAGATCTACTTCTGCTTCATTGACTATGCTAAAGCTTTTGACTGTGTGGATCACAATAAACTATGGCAGGTCCTTAAAGAGATGGGCCAAGAAGCGACAGTTAGAACCGGATATGGAACAACTGATTGGTTCAGCATAGGAAAAGGAAAAGGAGTACGACAAGGATGTATATTGTCACCTTGCTTATTTAATATATATGCAGAGTACATCATGCGAAATGCTGGCCTGGATGAATCACAAGCGGGAATTAAGATTGCTGGGGAAAAGATCAACAACCTCAGATATGCAGACGATACCACTCTAATGGCAGAAAGTGAAGAGGACCTAAAGAGTCTCTTATTCAGGGTAAAAGAAGAGAGCGCAAAAGTGGGCTTGAAGCTCAACATCAAAAAAACTAAGATCATGGCATCTGGCCCCATCACTCCTTGGCAAATAGAAAGGGAAGTCGTGGAAGTAGTGACAGACTTCACGTTCCTGGGATCCCATATCACCCCAGACTGTGACAGCAGCCATGAAATTAAAAGATGCCTGCTCCTTGGGAGGAAAGCGATGGTGAATCTAAACAGCATGATAAAAAGTAGAGACATCACCCTGCCAACAAAAGTCCGCATGGTCAAAGCAATGGTATTCCCAGTAGTCATGTATGGCTGCGAGAGTTGGACTATAAGGAAGGCCGAGCACCGAAGATTAGATTCTTTTGAACTATGGTGCTAGAGAAGGCTCTTGAGAGTCCCTTGGACTGCAAAAAGATCAAATCAGTCAATCCTAAAAGAAATCAACCCTGACTGTTCCCTGGAAGGCCAGATAATGAAACTGAAGCTCAAATACTTTGGCCACCAAATGAGAAGGGAGCACTCACTGGAGAAGACCCTGATGCTGGGAAAGATTGAAGGTCAAAGAAGACGGGGACGGCAAAGGATGAGATGGTTAGACAGTGTTATAGATGCAACGAACATGAAATTGAGCAAACTTCAGAGGACGGCGGAAGACAGGAGGGCCTGGCGGGAGCTGGTCCATGGGGTCGCGAAGAGTCGGACTCGACTGTGCGACTGAACAACAACAAAGCAAACTTCTGCTTAGGTGATTAAGTCTTGGACTGCTAGATTGATCCGAGAAGGAGCAGTGGGTGGGGAAGGGCTGGACATCCACCCCCCCGAAAAGGAGCGGTCTGTAAGCGATATAAAGGGGGGAAATGAAACTAACCGTACGAGACTTTTTCTGAGCTTGAAAGCTACAATTTAATCCAAGTCGTGTTGAATACAGATAAATTTGACTTTAAAACTAAAAACTTATCTCTTCCCTAACCAATGGCTGGTAGAGGGAGGGGAATGGTGACGGAAAAGAAACTTCCAACAGGAAACACAATACCAACGACTCCCACCCAGACACAAGAAGTGGCTGCAGACTTTCCCAACATGCTAGCCTCAGCATTGTGCCCTCTGCTGGAGCAGATGTCAACTATGAACAGTAAGCTGGATTCTGTTCAAAAACAGCTTACACATATGGGAAAAAGTGCCAACAAGACAGATAAAAAGATCAAGAAAGTTGAAACAAGGACTACAGATATTGAGCAAAAGCTGGAAGAAGTTAAAAAAAAAAGAAATACGGATAAAAGCCAACTACTCCAACTTCAACTAGAAAAATCAATGCACATTCTACATTTTTAAGGAGTCCCTGCACAGAAGGGGAAAACTTAAAAACAATTCTAAGTGAAGCGCTAGCATCAATTTTGGATCTTAAGCGAGAGGACCTCCAGAATGACATGGACTTGGTTTACCGTACCTATCCTGATTTTATAAGAAAAAACAAGCTACCTGGCGAAAGATACGTGAAATTCTCCAAGAGAACTATGAGAGAAAATGTTCTGAAAGCTACAGTGGGGAAAACACTAAAAGTCAAGGAGAAAGAAATTAAAATTCTAAAAGACATTCCATTTGAGATCCGGAAACAAAGACAACAATATAAAGACTTAATTCTTTTCCTTCAAAATAAATTAACTGCTTACAGATGGAGCTTCCCAGAAGGACTTGTATTCAACTACAATGATAAGAAAATTAAACTTGACTCTGTCCAAAAGGCCAAAAGCTTCTTGAAACAATTAAATGCAGATAAAGATGATAAAACAATCTTGGAGGAAGGAGAGGAACCCAGCGAGGAAGAATTGGATAATTCCTCAAGTGACTCTAGCAGTACAACTGAAACTTCAGAGTCTGAGAAAGGAGTTGCAGCACCCAAGATATTAAAAGCGAAGAAGAAGCACAAGAAATAAATGTAATATAATGGATTACAAAACACCTGAATTTAGCGTAATTAAATCCCATTTTACAGACGTTTAAATTCTTTGTTTCTTATTGCCACTGCAGGAGTGATATATACATCTGTAATTTCGCGTGTGAATCTTGTCTTATATTTTAGTGGTAGTGTACTCCCCCTGTTCCCCTCCCTTTAGGATGTAGTATTATAAAACCAATAAAATATTTAAAAAATTTAAAAAAATATTTGCTTATGATGATGCAATGAACATGTTCATGTGTGTCCATACTTTCTTGACTGTTTTAGCACTCCTGTGCTATTGTTCTAAAGTCTGTTGTGCTTCTGATATTTATTGTTCATGGATTTGTGTTTATGAGATGGTATAACAATATCTCAAAAATCATAAAATAAAAACACTACACCAGACAATTATATTCTGGTGTCAAACATATCCTTGCCCCGTTAACTCTGAATATGCAGGTACAGTAATGAGTTACATCCCAAATATAGATAGTCATTTTAGGAGAATTAATACACTTCAAAGTTTATTTTAAATGGTACCTGCTTTGAGCATTTAGGAAACTCTACCTTCATGGAAACCATGAGTATCCAAAAAGAAAGAAGGAACCAGAAATTTTAAGGATTAACATGAATCTGGAAGTCTCACAAAACACATAAAAACACACACATAAGTTTACTACACTGCAGTTTCCAAAGCATGAATCTAAAATACATATTATTTATCAATGCTTCTGTCTCATTTTTTTCCTCATACCTCTTATCAGACTTTAACCAAAGTTACAATTGTGGTACTATAGTAGAGTTCACTGTGCTAAATATGCAATGAGATGTTGATACAATTATGGATTTACACAATATACAAACTATCTAAGCCATGTCATAACAAATATACCATGGAAATTATAGTAAAAAGGTTGAGAGAGACCAATGATAATGCTCAGTCCAAAGATAGCAACTTCAAAAGTGCTATATGAAGCTTTACAAACTAAGCTTCATAAAGAAAGCAGCATACAACTTTTTCCAGCTTCCATTTTTATCCAGCAACTCTCCTGCATCTAGCAGACAGACAGTACACTCAGAACATGACCTAAAGTAACCCCAACTCGTACTAAGTGCAGTCTGTAAAGGAACAGCCATGCAGACTAACCCAATGCCCAGTTCCTGTAAGGATCATACCAAGCTACAAAGTTCACTACCATAAACAGCTGTACAGTTAATCTACACCAAAGCAACAGATGTCAGTTTCTCTCAACTGATTCACAGTGGCGGCTACTCCTATTGCCAGGCTTAAAAGTCCAGTATTCTTCAAATTTATACACTGACAACTGAGCCTCCTAGATTTACTTCCAAAACTTAGAAGTCAGCCCAACATTGCCTGCCTAGACACCTGATGCTACAGCTCCTCCCCTCGCCTTCTTGCTCTCTCAGCCACTGAAGATCAGATGGCAGATGGGTAGACAGCTGCCACCAGCCTCTTCATAAGCACTCTCCCACTCAAGTCAGGCACTAGGGGACACTACTTAAATGCCTGGGCAGAGAAGCTAGTCATACAGTTTATACTCTTCAGAAAAGACAGTAATATAGTTTTCTGTAACAAAAGCTTTATTCTATGAAATTCTACATAGTTGCTGAGCATAGCAATACCAAGTCAGCTGTCCTAAAGTTTCCCACTGAAGCAAATTATTATTTGCAGAAGAATAAGAAAGATGTCCTGCTTCATTTATTACTAAACATGCCTAAGAAACTTATTTCTAAGAGTTCTCCCATAAATCACAAATGCTTTGGGCTTCCTAGGAAAGGTCCAGTATCGCCTCATACATCAATAGGCACATCCCAATCAGCAAGCAAGGCACAGCTATTTAAATCAAGTGAATGAGAAATTAATTTTCTACCCACTGTTTTACCAGGAGCAGTGGTGGGAAAGCTAATAATGCAACAAGCCTGAACCTTGATAACCAAAATCTGTGAGAAGAAAAACACTCGTGGTTAGAAGTTGAGATCCTCTCAAAGAAAAGCAAGCATTTTAGTCTAAAACACCTTAGCATACAGATGCACTCTACCTCCTTCCTCCCAAATCCCACAATTACTGTTGTAAAATCACAGAACTAAGCATCAGGTGTACTGTATACACAAAACAGCTTCTGCCAATGAGGATAACTCAAAGGATTATGTATATTTTTTAAATTGATGATTTACCTGGAGAATGAGGTGTAAGAAAAACACAAAATTAGTAGAAGACCAACTAAATTTATTCATTTCCTGGTATTTAGAACAATGCTATGCCACTTCAAAAATTAGGAAATCGCTGTCATCCTGAAGGCGTGATGCTGAAAACTTGCTGAAAATAAGGAGGTTTAGGAATGGTCAATGTCTAGACAGGAGACTACCTAAGAATTCTGTGTACTGCCTAAAGTTCCAGGGAAAAAAGATAGGATGTGAGTCTGTGCTGGACAGCTCACTTCAGCAAGCAAAATACACAAAACAGTAACAGTGATGAGGAAAGACAGCTGAAATGTGTCTAATGAGCACTAGCTGGTAAAAACAGCCAGTTTTTATAAATGCATTCCTATAGAAAAATTCCAAGATTTCCATAACAAGTAAAAATTATTTGGCATAACAGACCACACTTTTCATCAAGGAAAAATGCATCTTGCTTCTACATGTTGTATCTCAAACATCAGACTAATTTCCAAATTCTGGAAACTAGCATGGATTCAAAGCTGCTATCATGCTTCAGTTTTGACATTTCTGTCGTCTGGATATAGTCAGAAAATAGAATACTGAGATAAGCAGGCACTCATATGACTGAACACAGCAATTTTTGTGTTCTGATTCTATGGATTAATTAATTTAGAGGAAAACCTGTCACTAAAAACTACCTGAGATGATGAAGGTATGCAGTTCCAAGCATCCAAGTGAAAACAACTCAGTCTTACTTATTTTTGTGCCTAAAGGTTGTCTTTGCAGACCTAGAGACAAATAACATCAGATATAAAAAGTTTTCAACATCCAGCTGTGTATCTTTTAGTCACACGACATTTCAGTTATATGTGGCAAAGACCAGAGTTAATGATTCCTGGAAAAGTTATGTAACAAAAATGCGAGAACACCTATAAATACCTTTTAGGATCATATGAAACAAGGCTGGATTGCATCCATTCAGATCAACATCTCTAGCACTAATAATCCTTCAGTTGCTTCTCCATATTACCCTTCAGCTAAACTCAAGCAGGCTGCAGATCTCAAACCCCACTCAAAACAAGGGACACTTTTTGCTGGCTGCTCTATAAAACACCAAATACATTGATGGTCCAAAAGAACACCAAAGGGGATTCTTTTTAAGCAGCCCTCAAAGGTTAAAAAAACTAACAAAAAGTGAGATTTGCATTTCAGGTAGTGTTTACTCACTCATGTTCTGCTACATCAGGCAGATAAGCTGCATCTTCTTGGGAGGGGTGAGCCATGAAAACAACATCTAGATCATCAAAAGCTCCAGCTTTAATCAAGTCTATTTTGCCTCCTCCATCTTCCTCGGCAGGAGTGCCCAGCACTGTAATCTGAAAGCAAAAGTAATAAGCGGCCAAGGTCATTAAAGCTGAAACACAGAAACACAGTGCCCAGGGAACAGCCACAAGGGAATCAGTTTACTGAGTGACGGAGGGGGGACATAACATTAGAAGAACCCTGCTGGATCAGACCAATGGTCCATCTAGTCCAGTATCCTGTCTCACAAACTGGCCAACCAGTTCCTAAGGAGGGCCAACGACAGGCGCCTTAGTGCCTCTAGATATGGAGGTTCCCCTCAGCCACCAAGGCTAGTAGCACAGACCCAAAGCCGAAGGAAGCACCAAAACAGTCCGTCCATGTAATAGTGAGACAAAACCAAAAGAAACAAAAGGCAATCCCCCCCCCCCCGTTTCTTCTCTCACCTTGAGGCGGGGGCGCGGGGAGTCCCGTCCG